CCCTCAATTTGGACGCATTTGCGCGCTCTATGGGGCTGGCTGTCACGCCAAGGGTGCGCTTTATTGAGCGGAAGCAGCAGCAGTCAGAAAAGAGGTCGGAAAATAGAAAGGAAACAAGCGCTACAAAGTCTATGGCTGTCAAAAGTGACGCTGATGAGGTTGATGATGATAGTCATTCTTCGGCTGCTGCAACCAACTTTTCTCAGCTGAAAATTGTCGCCGACGATGATGATGATGAGAAAGACGCCGACGATGATCTGTTTCAAATTAAGAAAGTATGGCGATTTGATCAGGACAGTGGTGATGCTGCTCTGAATGACGGCGACGAGGACACTTTGCCGCCTCTTCCACTTGCTGCAGCAGCTAAGAACACCCGGTCAAAGGCTGCCGTTGTGAAGCGACTGCTGAAGAAGAACATTAAACTGAACACCAAGATTGTCTTCAATGAGAACGACGAAGAGGAGGTCTTCACTGGCGGTGTGAGACAGGCGGCGCCCAAGCTGGCCGCACTGGACGCCTCCAAATCAGGCATTGACATAGAGGTATCCAAACGCATTATGGAGGAGGAGGACAAGCTGGATAAGGCAGCCTACCAGCAGCTGATCAAGGAAAGGCGGAAGGCAAAAAAAGCAAAGGAAAAGGAGAAGAAGGCTGCGAAGAAGTCCGGTGGCGCTTCGGCTGGTCTCGGCACTGATGGCGACGAGCAGATGACAGACTTTTACATTGACAATCTGCCCGATCCGGATGCAATCTACGAGAAGAAGAAGGAGGGTGATGATGATTCTGATGACGATGGTCAGTCTGACTATGAAGAAGACAACAGCTTTGGAAAGGGCCCTAAAACGGTAAAAAGAAAGAGGAGTAGCAGTAGTAGTAGTGATAGCTCGTCGGATGATGATGACGATCACTACCGCCACCCGATGAAAAAGCCCTCATCCTCCTCTTCCTCGAAGACAGAAAATAGTTTAGGCTACTACGAGGACATTGCGCTGAAGCTGCTCTCAACCAAGTAATTATCTCCTTCCCATTTCTTCTCTCTTACTTTTATTGATATCGTAATGCTCGTTAGAGTGCATCCACCAACAGGCCAGGCTCTACCATTACCTATCAATAAACCAATATATCTTCCTCGCATTCTCTCCTAATTGATGACTCTATTTGTAGAGCTGAAGTGGTGATGGGCATGTCGTTTCGATTAGTCTATGTCCATTTGCCGCCAGTGTGCTTCAGAGTGCTGTGCATCAGCAGAGGTCATTTTTCATTTCGTTCTCGCACTAATGAGCTTCGAATTAGCCCTGTCTGTCTGTTTGTGTGTGTGTGTTGTTTTTTTGTAAATGTTGTCTTTTTTCTAAGCCTACTTTCTCTCTCTCCACTCCCTCTGACCGCCACTGAACACCTGTTTCACATGGCTAAACATGTTTGAAGTGTTTTTATATTTAAGTTTTCTGTTTCTGTTTCTGTTTGTTGTCTCTCACTGTTTTGTCACTCTGGCAAAACANCTCCCTCTGACCGCCACTGAACACCTGTTTCACATGGCTAAACATGTTTGAAGTGTTTTTTATATTTAAGTTTTCTGTTTCTGTTTGTTGTCTCTCACTGTTTTGTCACCCTGGCAAAACAGTATGAGTGCTATACCGAGAGCGACGGTGTTCACAGGTCTGTGTCCGCAAGAGGCGACCTCACCTAACANGTGTCACTCTGGCAAAATAGTATGAGTGCTATACCGAAAGCGACGGTGTTCACAGGTCTGTGTCCGCAAGAGGCGACCTCATCTAACACACTAAGATTACTACTACCAGTGTGTGTGTACTTTTAGACTTCTCCACCACCACCACTCGGCGTGTGCTCGCTCGATAATGAGCCGAAAAGGGGAGATAGATCGACCTGCTGATAGGCAGATCCCTCTCCACTTTACTGTGGTCTGTCGGCGTCGGCAACTGTGCAAAGTGGAAAGAAAGAAATACCCGAAGAAGGACAGTGGAGTTCCCTCAGTCAGTTAGTCAGTGTTTGCGTGTGTTTGCCTGCTCCAGGGGCAGCCGTTGTTGTCGTCGCCCCGTCGGTAGGTCGGTCGTATATTCTCGGCTCTGCCGGAGCGTAATTGTCGCTTTCGTTGCGCCCGCGGTCGCAACGGCCACTGGCCACAGTCGCCAGCCGAAACTTCGGCAACAGCAGCACCAACAACAGCACCAACAGGAGGAGAACAGGTTTACCTGTTGTGTGTGTGAGTGAAGGTGGGCAGCACCTGCAGTGGCGGCGGCGCCACTCTCTCTCACTCACTGACAGTTGCCTTCTGATGCTACGGGACAACAGACAATTCTTTGCCTGCTCTTTTTTTGCTTGTTCGCGCTGTAGTGTTGAACTGTGTGCAGGAGGAAGGTAGGCAGGCAGCGACGGTGTGAACAGAGGCTGAAGGGCACCGAAGCAGTTCAGCGAAGCATTCTTCCTGGGGGCCGCATCGCTCTCTCCTCTTTCCTTTGTGTGTTCTTGTGCACTCTTTTTCCAATCACCACCACCACCAGTGCCCACTACCATGATTTGTTAGTGCAGATGGTTTTCGGTTGAATATCATCACCCACTGATTTAACCTCATCACCCCATCCCTACCACCCTCACCCCGATCATGATCTCACTGCAAAAGACTACCACAACTAGGCGTGGTCACCACCACCACCACCATTGTCCTTCACACCGGTTAAGTCCCACCACTACCACCACTGTGGTGAACATCAGCAGCAGCCTGTGCCTAGGCCTATCCCTCCTGCTGCTGGTGAGCACCGTGTCCCCTGTTGCCCCGCAGCTGCCCGGCAGCAGCTCCAGCAGTGACCGCAGCAGACTGACCTTGGCTGGCCAACAACATGTGGCCGACCTATGCGGCGGTGGGCCCGTGGAGACGGCCGCCGAGGTGGTCTTTGCGGACGGCGTCCGCCGACTCTTTCTCTCCAGCGGACCCTATTACTGGCTGATCAACGCCACAGACGAGCGTCCTGAGGTGGCCGCCGCTGCCAAGATTCCCCTTGAGTTTCTGCCTGATGTGGCTCTGCTGAGAAACAGCAGCGCCTGCTCCAGCAGTGGGCAACAGTGGTCGCCGGTGTCGCTGGTGCTGATTCAGGTAAAAAAGATGAGAAAGGATGAGTGATAGTAAAATTGGTAGTCAATGAAATGTTTCCCGGTCTTTTTGCAGATGAAGCCAAATGAAGACGGCACCGAGGTGGAGTGGCTGACACTGGAAGTGACCCTGGGCGACTGGTGGTCGGCCACGGAGACCATCAACGGGTCGGCGGTGGCTGATCCGCAGCTTCGCTGGGGCGCCGTCTCCAAGATTGCTCAGTGCGATCTGGTGGAACAGGTATTGCTTGGTATAGCTCAAACATTCGTTTTAAAATTATTTTTTTTTGTTTCCATTTCCTAGGTGTGCTTCAAGACCACTGGCGGTAGAAATCTGGCCAACTACTTTGCCACAATGAGTTTCGACTTTAAGCGGAAGCTGGACGCTGCCTTTGGGGCACTTGGCGAGACCGCCTACTTCATTCAGGGTAAACTGCTGATTGAGACATTCAAATGAAATTCTATTTAACTTTACTTTTTTATTTTTTACAGACAAAAGCCTGTACAAGGTGCTCTACAAGAACCAGTGCATCGGCAATCCGTACCTCGACGTGGTCGCCTTTCCCTCGGTGGACATTGGCACGACCACCACTGCGGCCGCCTTCATCAACCACAGCTCTACCGTAGTTTTCTTCGACGGTGAACTGCACCTGAAGGTGACCAACGCCAGCGGTGTCATCGGCGAAGAGGGCGCTCTCAGGCAACGACTGGTCGACCTGGGAAGCTGGGCGGAGAATGGCCATTGCTTCTTTGAGAAGTGTCCACCCCTAGAGAGCGCCTGGTTCAGCTGGCTCCTCGAGCTGGAGCTTTTCTCCTCATCGAAAAAGCACTATGTCAAGCGACAGATTCTGCTGATCTCCTCGGCGACGCTGATCCTCGCTCTGTCGCTGCTCATCTGCTGCTTTCTGTTCGTCGGTCTGCTGAAGAGGCGCCGGAGGAGAAGGGGAAGCAATCTGGAGAAGACTGCTCAGGCGGAAGGTGGTGCCGGTGGCGCTGGCGGTGTTGGTGGTGATGGTGCCGGCGGTGAGCAGCTCATTGAACAGGTGGACATGGTGGACGTCAAGACTGGTGCTGGCGGTGACGGAAACGGTGAACAGGCAAAGACTCTCTTGCAGACTAGCTGCTAAACAGCTGTGCTCATTTGATAATCAAAACTGATCTACACTTTGATACTGTTGAGTCAGACTCTGACTAATGGAAACCCCCCAAATGCTCACCTTCTTCTGCAGCTTCTTCTCCTTCTTTCATTTTATTCCTTATACTCGTTTACACTTCCATGTCCATCCATCACCTCAGTTGTTCATCTAGTGCCTTTCCCTTGCTTTACCCATTGACGTCTGTACATATCTTGGTCTGTCTGTTTAGTCTCTTTTACACATCAACTGTACTCCTCACTTCTATCTCCATCTTTGTACACATATTGCTCATGCCGGTGAACACATCATTTCTACACACATTTCCCCCACTCTTTGATGACTTCAATCATATACAATTTATATACTTCATTTCATAATAATTTATCACTTTTGCAATAAGAACCGATGATTTACAACTTGTCTTCTCTTCCCGGGCACTGAAACAAACAAAATTAGAAAGCACAGTCATCATTGCACTAAAGTCTTCTTCTCAGTTGCCTTTGATTCTTCTGAAAGTATTCTACCGCGTACGCACCCTTGCTCTTCTTCCACGTCAGATTTAGCCGACGCTAGTGCAGGTGTCCGGTAGTTTGCAGACTGATTTTGGACTTACACAAACATACACATACACACAGNTTTTTATTCCTTATACTCGTTTACTCTTCCATGTCCATCCATCACCTCAGTTGTTCATCTAGTGCCTTTCACATGCTTTACCCATTGACGTCTGTACATATCTTGGTCTGTCTGTTTAGTCTCTTCTACACATCAACTGTACTCCTCACTTCTATCTCCATCTTTGTACACATTATTGCTAATGCCGGTGAACACATCATTTCTACACACATTTCCCCCCCCCCCTCTTTGATGGCTNAACAAACAAAATTAGAAAGCACAGTCATCATTGCACTAAAGTCTTCTTCTCAGTTGCCTTTGATTCTTCTGAAAGTATTCTACCGCGTACGCACCCTTGCTCTTCTTCCACGTCAGATTTAGCCGACGCTAGTGCAGGTGTCCGGTAGTTTGCAGACTGATTTTGGACTTACACAAACATACACATACACACAATCAGTCCTTCAGTTCACTTATCTGTTTTCTGGCTCAAGACAAGAAGAAGTGCCCCACCACCATCACCACAACATCATCAGCGCCGTCGCCTCTGAGCACCCTTCGAAGCTAGTCATTCCCAGCACTCTCCAGCACTTTATCCACCCGTGACGGCAACAACTTCAGCAGATTTTAACGTTCAGTGTCAGCGTGTCAACAGCTCCGTGTCTCTCCGGCGTTGCACCTGTTTGTGCCTATACCCGGTGTACGGCGACTGTTGCATCAACTTCAGAGGACCTTGACCTGATCAGCTTTCTCCGAAGGCGTCGCCCCCACCCTAAACACACTCATACTCGTCATTTGCATCATCTGATCAACAAAAATGGGTAAGCATCGTCATCAGTGGTGCGCCGGTGAACCAACGCNTATACCCGGTGTACGGCGACTGTTGCATCAACTTCAGAGGACCTTGACCTGATCAGCTTTCTCCGAAGGCGTCGCCACCACCCTAAACACTCATACTCGTCATTTGCATCATCTGATCAACAAAAATGGGTAAGCATCGTCATCAGTGGTGCGCCGGTGAACCAACGCTTGATTGCCTCGGTGGCCACTGATTTCATTGTACCTTTCTCTCTTCTAGGTGGAGTCCTCTCCTATTTCAAGTCACTCTTCGGTTCGAAGGAGATGCGCATTCTCATTCTCGGCCTGGACGGCGCCGGCAAGACGACCATTCTCTACAGACTGCAAGTGGGCGAAGTTGTCACGACCATTCCTAGTGAGTGCTCCTCTTCAGCTTAATTTCGAACAGCTGTTTTAACTTGACCTTAAACTCATTCTCACCAGCCATCGGCTTCAACGTGGAGCAGGTGACGTACAAGAACTTGAAGTTTCAGGTGTGGGATCTCGGCGGCCAGACGTCCATTAGGCCGTACTGGCGCTGCTACTACTCCAACACAGACGCCATCATCTACGTCGTCGACAGCAGTGATAGAGATCGCATAGGCATCTCCAAACAGGAGCTGGTCTCTATGCTGGAGGTCAGTAGATTCTCTTGTTTCATCAACTAGCATTTTCTAAATCAAAATCATTTCTATCACACACACAGGAGGACGAGCTAAAGAGCGCCATCCTCGTGGTGCTGGCAAACAAGCAGGACATGGAGAACGCCCTCACCGTCGCCGAGGTGCACAAGGAGCTGGGTCTTGATGTGCTGAGAAACCGAACGTTCCAAATCTTCAAAACCTCCGCCATCAAGGGCGACGGCCTCGACGAGGCGATGGAGTGGCTATCAAACGCCCTTACCGCCACCAAGTAACAGTAGTAATTGGTCAGTAGCACCGAATGGGGTGAAGGAAAACCTTCAAATGATTCAAGCTGATATTTATTTTCTACCCTTTTCGCTTCACTTTTACTTGCTTTTGTTTCCTTCTTCTCTCTTCCACACACACAAGTGCACGTCCGCATGAGCTGTTGGCGTCTCCTCCCCCTTGTGTCTGTTTGTTGTCGCCTGTACATGAACCGGTACCTCCTTCTTCTTCCTTTACATCCTTTGTATTTTAACACGGATAACAACACGCTCTCTATCCTCTTCTAAGCACTCGTCTTGTACATATTCTACAAACACCACTTTCTTACGGCATTCTTATTAGAGACTATATTAAAATAAAACAAATGAACTATACCTTCAACGTCAAAAAATAAAATTTTAATTATGCATGTACTACCGAAGAAGAAATGGAGTACACAAAGTAGTGAAGATGACCAGCTCACAGTGATCAGTGACCAGGACTAGAGGGTGGCAAATCAAATCAAATCAAACAGTCATGGTATTACAGTTAGTTGCGACTAAAAAAGTATTGCCCTTGATAACATAAAAGATGAAGAGTGTTGGGGGAGGGTAAAATCGAATCAAACCAAAGCAGATGTTGGGATATCAAAATAAAACTCTAGGCGGAGAAGGACCAGTTTGGAAGACGAGTTTGGCAAGAGAGATTTTCTGGGGGAGATTATTTGGCGGAAGACATGTAAGGGTAGGACCAGTCGTGCAGCGGTACGTTCGTTTGTTTGATGTTCTGCGGCGAGACCCATCGAAGGAGGTAATGCGGCGCGCCGGCCTTGTCGTTGGTACCGGACACTCGAGCACCACCAAACGGTTGTTGGCCAACAACGGCTCCGGTACATTTGTCGTTGATATACAGATTGCCGGCAGAGTACTTCAGACGATCAATGGACTTCTGGAGGAATTTCCTGTAAATAAAAGTGTTAGATAGTTGTAAACAAGCGCATAAATAGTAATTACTTGTCATTCGCAAAGATTGCACCAGTCAGTCCGTAAGGCGTCGAGCTGTCAATCAGCTCCATCGTCTGGTCAATCTTATTGTCATCGTAGACGAAAACGGTCAGCACTGGGCCAAAGATTTCATTGGTTATCAGCTTGCTGTGAGGATCAGTTGTGACGATGATTGTCGGCTCGACGAAGAAGCCCTTCTCAAAGGTGGCCTGGCCGCCGATCAAAATCTTATGGTTGTCATCATTTTCGGCATAGTCAATGCAGCCTTTGATGCGCTTGAAGGAGGCGCCGTCAATGACCGCCGAGAGAAAGGTGTCAAACTCGAGAGGAGAGCCCAGCTTTAGCTTTGAGGTGATGTCCAGTAGACCGACTTCAATCTGTTGGGGGACAGTGTTTTGTTGAACGCAAAGATAAACTTCCAAAATCAAAAACCATACCTTTGGCCAAATCGACTTTGGTACGTAGAGGCGACTGCAGGCAGAGCACTTTTGACCGCTGTACTCAAAAGCCGCCCGAGCCGTTTGCGTGATTGCCGTCTGCAGGTCCGCCGAAGGGTGAATCAGGTGAAAGTCCTTGCNGAATTCAAGCGGAGAGCCCAACTTCAGCTTTGAGGTGATGTCCAGTAGACCGACTTCAATCTGTTGGGGGACAGTGTTTTGTTGAACGCAAANAAACTCGAGAGGAGAGCCCAGCTTTAGCTTTGAGGTGATGTCCAGTAGACCGACTTCAATCTGTTGGGGGACAGTGTTTTGTTGAACGCAAAGATAAACTTCCAAAATCAAAAACCATACCTTTGGCCAAATCGACTTTGGTACGTAGAGGCGACTGCAGGCAGAGCACTTTTGACCGCTGTACTCAAAAGCCGCCCGAGCCGTTTGCGTGATTGCCGTCTGCAGGTCCGCCGAAGGGTGAATCAGGTGAAAGTCCTTGCCGCCACATTCGCCGATCCTAAAAAATCGAAAAAAACAATCAAAAACTCTTCATTATTTCTCAGCACACTCTTACATTCGAGGAAACGTCTTGTTTTTGGTGAGGTTATCCGCCACGTTCCTCCAGATGGTCTGAAAGGTGGCCACGCTGCCGGTAAAGTTGACCGCCGCCAAATCGGGCGAACTGATGACGTGGTCGCTGAAATCAAGTGGCTTAGAGGGCAGGAAGCTGATGACGCCAGGTGCAAAGCCGGCCTCCTCAAAAATTTTGTAGATGATCCAGTTGGAGAGAAGGGCAGTGCTGCTTGGCTTCCACACCACGGCATTTCCCATCAACGCCGGTGCCGAGGAGAGATTGCCCGCAATGGCGGAGAAGTTGAAGGGCGAAATGGCGGCGACAAAACCTTCGAGACTTCGAAGTCGGTACGTGTTGCTCACCTCATTGCTCGGACTTATTGGCTGGTACTTGTAGACCTCTTGCGCATAGTAGGCGTTAAAGCGGAGAAAATCCGTCAGCTCACAAGCGGCGTCGATTTCTGCCTGAATGACAGTTTTTCCTAAAAATAACAAAATGTTAGTTGCTGAAATTGACAAAAAAA